GTTAATAAATATAATGCATAATTTTTGTTGTTAAAATACTCGATTCATTAAAAGACAATGTTTTATTATAAATAAATGCAAATGAGATTATTTTAAATTAAAAAGTAATTTAAAATTTGTTTGAGGTTGCAATTGCTATCATTAATAAATTATAATTTATTTTAAGACGTAATAAAAATTATTTTAATAACATTTTCTCAATGGCAAAAATAATCCAAAATTATTTTTATAATTTAATATACTTGATTAATAAAATTATCATTATTCTATTCCAGGTTTAAGCCGATTATAAAACTGACACTGAGCTTTATTGAAAAAGAAATTAAGAAAGAAAGTTTGCTGAAGATTCGAAAAGATCGAGGATACCACCTGCAGCATCAAAAACAAGAAAGAGGTGAAAATGGTTGAAATATATTGGGTAAGTAAGTTTATTCCTTGAGTTAATTTTTGATTGAACTTTTATGGGCTAAAAGTCAGGAAGAAAACGGAATCCGTAATTATCTACCTTATTTGAAAACAAAAGGTTAAAATATAGTGAGATTGATTTGAGTACGAGAAAGAAAGAATGATGAAGAGTATAAAGCAAAGAAAAGAGTAGTATCAGGACCACCCCAGAAGTCGAGTTTTCCTGAAGGAAACTAATAATCGAATTCCCAACTCTTCAGAGTTCGCTCCGGGTCACCGAATACTTCTCTAGGAGTTCTTTTATCTTCCAATTCGCGTTCCAATGCTGATGTCGTTCTCACCCTTTTCGTCGACATTTTTTTTATTTCCTTTTTTTTTTATTCGAATTGGGATACTTTTGCTGAGAATATTCGATGATTCATCCATTGCTCTCGCATAAACTGCATCTGCTTCTTCAATAATTTCTTTTAACTTTTCATATTTAATTTATAACTCATGGATAATTTAAAAATTGAGAACGATGATGATTAACGATTTTCGTCGACGGTTTACTCTTTTACATTGAGCTGAAAGTTTTATGTTTTTTTTCCTCACTATTCCTGAGAGCAAAAGTATAGTCGTGCAAAAAAGTAATAGAACACACACTACGTACGAGATGATTTACAATCCACAGGCGTTACTGTTATCCCACGTAATTAATAAAATGATTAAATGAAGCTTCCATTGTCGTCCATCAATTACGCGGTTAACGAGAGAAATAAAAATGTGGGTATTAAGGCATAGAGAAAGTTATATCATGGGAAATCTAGATATTTGTAATCGCAGACGTGTGACAAAGTCGAAAAAGGGTGGACGTCTTTCCGGAAGTGCTCAACCCGTGTCGAAATAAATCCAGTTTTACTTATACAAAGAACACGTCATAGCTCATGTAAATCGAACGGGGTCAAAGTTTTACCTTAGAAGCACATTGTTCGATGTGAAAATGTAGTCCAAGATAGATCACATGGAAACGGGGAGAGTGGCAGAATAAAATATTCAAAGTACTTTCTTCTTCCCTTACAACTTATTGCATCTACATACGTCCTCGTTGTCTTATTCTGCTTTTTAGTTTTTTTTTTTTCTCTTCATGTATAGGATCCTTTCTCTTATCTTATCTTTTTTATTTCTCAATATTTCAAAAACTTTTTTACTGAATTAATTTTAAAGTTGACATTTTCTGTGAATAAAAAATTTAATTGGTATAAACATGAATAAATTTCTAGAATGTATATAAAATATGAATTAAACGGAAAGCTAATTAAATTGACGTTAAATAAATTACTTGATGAATTTTTTAATTTTATTTACTGATTGGACAAATAAAAATTAATATATTCCAAATAATTATGAAAATTCAATATGAGATTTAAAAAGAATTATTTAACAATTTTACAGATTGAAAATAGTTGTTTACTGAAGAACAAAAAAATGGATGAAAAAATCAACAGAAAAAAAACGTTACTGGAATAAATGAATATTTATTGTCTCAAAAACGAGTTATTGCATAAAAAGTTAAAATATCCATAAATATTTTTTGAACAAATTATTGGACAGGTTTTGTAAGCGGTCCTCAAATGAAACAACACCAACAAATATGGCAGTTGAATTAATTTGAAAATTGCTACACAATTCAATATTCATTTGAGTGAATTAGTAGAATGTAAAAATAGTGAAGGACGTAAAAATCGAATCTTTTCACTAGGCGTCGGCTGTTGTGGACAGCTTTGAAATCGATTCGCAGACCATTCGTTGTCGAATTGTGAGGGTGGTCAACCGCGAGGACACCCACGGGCATCGAGGTCTCGTTAAAAATGCAATTGGAACGACATGTTGGTTCTTTCTCTTTTCTAGTTATTCGTTGAACCCATGTTCCCAATGGTATGGAGATGTGTGTATGGTATGATAACAGATAAAAGTGTAAATTTTGAAGGTGAATGAATATTTTTAAGCTGCTGAACACTTGTTTTCTTTCTCGCATATACATTTGGTTACGCTAGTAGAGAAAGGCACATCTTTTGTATTCTGGATCGTTGCCGAGCCTCGAATGATATGAACGAAAAGAACGATGTGTGTGCAAAAGCGTTCAGGTTTCCGCTTCCGGTTTACATTTTATGTCTGAATGTTTCATTGTCGAAATGTGAGTCCGCGTATCCAAGATACACAAAAGAGATGAAAACAGTTGACCCAGATATATTGAGAGAAAAAACAAAAAATGACTAAGAGCAAATGCTTGGGTTCAACATGTACTAGTGTAGCAAGGGGAAAGATGCAATCACAGTAAGAAAGAAAAATGGAGGATGTGTAGCTGAAAAATGAGTGTATTAAAAAAAATCTTCAACCCTAAAATTTCTGTCCATTGAAAAAGTTGATGCCACGCCAATGTCATTTTCTTCCCATCTATCTAAATATGTCCTTTATCTTGCTTTAGGTATAATATTTATCCATTGTATTTTCTCTCATAAATGAAAGCTGAATGTAGTCAAGCTAAAATATTTCCTCTATAAATAAATTATTTAGCTTCATGTGGTTTGAGAATTAATAAATGACTGTAGATAATGGAATTAAAAGGGTTTTCACAGCAAAAAGTAGGTGAAGAAAAAATAAAAAAATATATCAGAAGAGGGTAGAAGTAGCAGTGTATTCAAGAAGTAAGTTCTGGTTAGAAATCGATTGTCGTCTCGACAACTCCAAGTGGAAGTGGTTCAAGTTAGAGTAAGAGGATATAAGCCAGGGTTCACTGAGGGTTGTTATTCAATGAGTTACATGCAGCTGGACCACTCCTGGAGTCTGTCTCGTTTATTTTTCTTGCTTGTCTCGATGCTTCGTAACTTCCTAGGCAACCTCTTCACCCTAGTTCTCTGACCCTGCCCACTTTTATACAACTATATCTGGTTCACAAAGGCTGTCCTTGGCAAGCTAACCAACTTGCTCGCCATACAGCCTACCAATTTCAGTGATTTGCATTATCAAATATTTTATACATTATTTCATTTTTTATAGTTTATTGAACATCAAATTCCTTTCAGGTTATTAATTTGCTTAGTTTATCCCTTTATCTACATTCTTCATGCAGGTAGATATTGTTTGAATTATTTTCAAATTTTATTATTCTACCTCGATGCATTTTTCTGTTTTTCTCTTTTTTTTTTCTATCACGTTTGATTTTTATTGTTTTTATAGTAAAAGTATTTTCTACTTATTTATTTTATTTATTTTTTGAAAAAAAAACATTCCATACGATATATAAAATTATCGGAAACGTTTCGATATTGGCGTCGGTACATATTCTCTCTCGTTCACAACTGTGCAACGCACGTACTCAACTCAAAAAAGGATGACGTAAAAAATTGAGAGAAATAAGGAACAACATTTAACATAATGACAACTGAAGTTATGAAATATTGTGTGAGCATGCAACTGAAGTTTGGAATTCAACTACATAAAAAAAAAAGGTCAACAAAAAGTAAAATATTTATTGATGATTTTTGAAATTATTTTATGAATATTTTTTTGTTATTATTGAGAAATAGTTGGTCGAATATTTATATTCTATATAATAAAAAAATTCCATCACGAATTGCTGTAAAAAAAAATAATTTTGCACAGCTTTTTGATCTTTCGTAATAAAAAATATATCCAATTATTTTCACTTCACTGCATACATCGCTTTTGTTTTATAAATAGAATTTTATACATATAAAACTTAGTTTATGCTTGAATTTCGCTAAATTTTGATACAATCATCAGAATAAAATGTTAAGAAAAACATCTGGCACATTTTCCTGATCTTTTAACGATTAAAACTCGATTCAATTATTTTCATCTTACTGCATGCAAGCATGATTCTAGTTTGTTAAATAGAATTATATATATTCGAAGAACTTTATTTTTACACTCGGATTACTCTAATTATTTTCATCACAAAAAAAAATTCTCTACAGTTCTTTCATTATTAATTTATTCTTTATTATAATAAATAAATCAAATCGTATCTCTTTATTCCTTTTTCTGTTGAGAAAAATTTTACGAATTCTTTTTAACTGAGTTGATTATATCAAATATATTTTTTGTTGATAATGTGGTAAGTGGTTTAATTAAGAATGCAGTAGAAAAGAACACTTTGCTTTTTGATTTAATATTTCATTGCAATTAAAATCTTATTTAATTATATTCCAACAAATGCATGCAAATAAAATTTCACTGGAACAAATTGCATCTCTCTTTTCGATAAAATAATACATTCTTTATAACTAAGTTAATTGAATGTTTGTGTACTAATAAAACATCTTAGTGATATAATTTGGTAGCATTTTGATCAAAACAGGGAAGCTGCAGAGAAAAATCTTGGCATCGTTCCCTGATACTACAGCAGTTGAGAACGTGTTCAGTCTGTGTTCACATAAATTTATACGAGGACAATTTTACTTTTATGAATAAAAATCTACAATCCTGCATGACATTCATATCTGTCTGTTTCAGAATAAGTCAAGATAGAATTATATATCAATTATTGACTTAATTTTTTAAATGCAATTTAAATATTAAATCAAACTCACCCATTGCTGGAGCATAAATATTTAAAAATAAACAGTCTTCGCTTTGATCCTTAAGATGCGGTAAGAGCCTTTTAAAAAATTTCAATCGTCCTCTAGGCATTCGCTCCAACGCAGCTGCTTCGTTGGTAATATCAGGAAGTCTTTGAGGACAGACTGGACTGATGGAGTGGGCAAGCCTGAAATATTGTTCAAAGAAAAAAATATTGAATTCCAAACATCAGCATCATATTCCATATCATATACTATCAAATTTATGTTATTGAAGAATTTCATATATAAAGCAAACGCTTTTGTTCAAAGGCATTTTTTAAAAAATTCTAACAAAGGCATTTAACTCCACATTAATTTACTAATTTTCAAATAATCATTTATTAACAAAAGTATTTAAATAAAATATTGAAATGAATGACATTCGTGGATTAATTGTAGGTTGAAACAGAAGAAGATTGAAAAGCAATTACCTAATTCCATCCCAGGGACTGGGTGCTTTAGTTGGTGAAAATCTGTTGCCTCCAGTGGGTGGTGTGGCATATGGTATCCCAAGGTAAACGTCCACAGGTCTGAGTGGGCTGTTCTCAAATGATTGAATTAGTCCTTGAAGTTGACCGTTCCGTAGCTGAACAATTCGTGGATTTAACTTGGTCTTTACGGAAAGCGTAAACACTGTGGGCGGAGCAATGAGGCAGACAAGAATAAGAAAAAGTTTCATTTTGATTCGAAATATATTTTTGAATCCTCGTCACTGGCAATAAACCTTGAGAGGAATTGATTAAACCTGATTTGGCGATTATTTCTAAGTAGATTGACCTAGTAAGTTTACTCTTTCCGAGGCTATACTATGGCTTTGCATTAATATTGGCGTGATGATGATTCTACATTACAGTATCTACAATTCTCTACTCGCGCCACTACGGCGCGCCACCCAAAAGTTAATTTCATCGCCTAATTACTTCCGTTTCCACTTGAACACGTTCCGGATATTTTGACGTGAAAGACGAGAGCACACTAATTACTCTTCGACCATGTTCACGAGCTCATCAATCTTTTAATGTTGCTTAAGAGAAAAAAAATACCAGATAGTACTTCATGTTAAGCGAAGTGATTATACCGTAGCGACACGTTTATTGAAAGTTGATTCTCAGCCATTTTCTCTATTCATCAGTTTTTAATGATGGAAAAAAATGATGATCTTATAATCCAGTAAATAATTTTTTTCAATCAAATCGAGAGAATCTCAACACTCTTATTTTTCCCTTTAAGACACATCCAATTTCGATCGTTGGAAATATCCAGATAATTGGACACCACCTTCTAGCTTGAACCTGGAACACAAAACAAGAAAAGATAATAAAGTAGTTGTAGTTACGTCTCCATTGAATTAAGAATTTTATATTGTTGGCCTAGATTTAAAACTTGGGAAACAAGATTCGAGTTAATAAATAGGATTTTACAAGTGACAAAGAGCTGGCTAAAAAAAGTTTCTATTACAACAAAAGCATTGATCAAAGATATTAGCTTGTGTCTCCTAATACCACTCTCTTTTATTAGATATCTGACGAGTCTTTGTCTTCCACATTATTTTCTTCTTCTGGAGATTTTTCTATTTTCCCTGATGTCTTTATTTCAGGATAGCACATCAGATTTTTTTCTCTTATCAGTTTCATTTTTCTAATCATTTACTTTTAAATAGCTTCCCACCATCATGTTGCTTCGTAGTCTTCTTTCAACCTTAAAGAATCAGTAATGGCATTTTTAATTTAATCGTAATCAATATACGTCAAGTATCAAACTCGGTTTGATTAAAAGCATAGTTATCTGTTTGTTAAATCATCCTTAATTCAAGTTTGTTCATATCAGAGTAGTAGGATATAGAGAACCGAAGAGAATCAAGATTAATTCAATACCATTAATTGATCGTCTACAATTGGAATTCGATAACAAACTTGGGTTCCTTTAAGTAACATATACACTTAAATGTAGTTTAGTATCTGTATGTTAGGTTGTTCCTGTGGCTTAGCTGTTAATCGCACGATTTACTTTAGGTTCAGTTAAACATCGTAGACTTTGTCTCAGTCTGCTAGATTCTCAGGATGTATTTGTGTTTACGATGTGTAAGATGCGGGCAAGTTAGTAAGTGCTATCTACCTTAGTAAAGTGAGAGAGAAGGGGTCTATCTTACGAAGAAGAAGAGGGGTACTGTTTGAGTTTGTGAAGCAGTAATAATTGTTCCGCCTAAACTGAGGACAGCACCAGGCGTCCGGTGATAGCAGTAGTTGCCAACATAGAGTTCGATTAATGGCTTTGATGCAGACTCATCAGCTAGTCCCTTTAAAAACTTTTTTTTTCTCGTAGGAACAGCTCTATCAATTTTGGGTAATTAATTTTAATGAATATCCGACAGTATCAAAGGGTTTCTATACTGATATTATTTACATCAGTTTTAATTATGATAATATTTACATTATCGTTCATTATAGAATATTCAAGAGTGAATTAATGTTATTAAAATGATATCACAAGATGAATCTAAACTTTTGATACATTAAACGAATTTTTCTCAGCTTGAATGATAATCTTATTTGAAAGTAATTAACTACCATAGGTGTGAAAAGTGTGAATAATTTTTTAAACTGAATTAAATTCAGGTAATATTAATTAATGTGAATATTTTAAATAAATTGATTTAATATGCTTTTACTAAATTTTTGAATATTAAAACTATAAATAGACAATTATGAGTAAACATTTCATTCAATGAATAATTAATTAATTAAATGATTTTTGATTAATTTTATTTTAATTAAGTATAATAAACTTTGAATAAAAAATAAATTCACACGTTTTATTAATTTTATCAACATTCTTTATCAATAAACTCAACCATTTTTTATGCATTTTCACTGATGCTGAACATTTTTTTCGACAGTAAATAATGATTTAGTTACTTTTAATAAACGTTCTTTAATTGAATTATTGGCGTTTTATTTCATCAATGTTTTAATTAATTCAGCACTAACCCATTTAATCAGCATACATCAAAAACAGTATGATTCTCATTTTGGGTCTATGCGGGCCAGTAGACTTGACCTACTTTCACTTGAGGCCATTGACCTCATCAGCTGACGCCTCGATATTCTCTTTGCACCGCTGTACTTATGTCGGATTAAACGTAGCTTTCAACTACTGAAACTATAGATACAGTAGTTGATGTACAGATGATATGAATGTTAAAATTAATATTTGAACTCTACAATACCAAAAGTTTGTTAATATTATTATTTTTAATCATAAGTATTAAATAAAATGTAATTAATTTTATTTTTTCATGATTTAAGCAGAAAAATTTTAATATAAATTCATTCTTAATAGAATAAAATAGATAAAACTTGAAATTTAACCTTAGTTTTACAATGTATAACTTCACCAAGATGGGCTTTATTCTCCTTAATTTCTTGATTACAATCTCCCCTTCTTCATCCTTAAATTTGATGATAACTTTGTAAATTATAAAGTGGAATGAATTTTACTTAAGGTATGTAGGTATATGTAAACTGTAAAAATGATTACTTTATTATAAACGAACCGTTAATAATACCGGAAATTATTATTAAAAAAAAAAAGTTTAAATGTTGTTCTATTCCTGAAGTTGTTGTCGAGTTATAATTTTTGCTGTCATTTCCAGCAGCACACTTTGTATTTAGATGCTCTCTTATATTTCCTGATTAAAACCTCTTCCTGCTTAAATTCAACTTTACTTCCCTTCCAAGATACATAGATCTTACAACCAGTATTATTTAAATTTATAACGTCATAACGCGTCAATTAAGAATTAATTACTTGAAAGATGATGAGATGAAAAAAGTTATATATACCATGAAAATTGAATAGTACAGTTTGATGATAAAAGGTGCAAGATAAAGTTATGGACTAAATTACTCGACTTGTATTGAAAAATTTATTAAGCTACAGGATTAATTCACCATCTATTAAAAAAGAGTGTGGAAAGTTTAACTTTATGATTTTTTTAATATGTTAAAGCTCAAATCAAAACAAAAAAATATTGCTACAAGTATTGATCGTCACATTATCAGATTTTATTTGATACAAAAAGACTTCTAAATTTTTAGTTACGACATGTCAATATTATTCTTTATTTTCCAAGCAATTATTACAATACCTCATTTCTGTTTCATTTTTTTCAACATTTTATGCAACTCCTGTTTCATAATTTTCCATGACTTTACATGATGGCATACAATCCTAAAATCTCATATTAATCTCCAAAAATATTCCGCAACATGTGAATTACATCCACTTAGGTTTAAATAACACCACACATGATTCTAAATATTCGTAGTCAACATGAAAGTCTGGTCGTCTATCTTCCATTAAAATCCTTTGATACCCAGTTCAACGAATACGTTCTAAGTTTCGATGAGATTGTGACAAACTGCTTTGCGGTTTTCGGTGTATCATCGTAGAAAATTCAGAGGTAGAATTATGGGAATATATAAGTCTTTGGTTGATGTGGCGTTTGATCTTTCAAATGAGTGTATAGTTGTTGGAATATATGCAAAAAAAATGACTGATCAGCAAAATAGATATTATTAAATCATAAATTGAAAATATAGCAAAAATACCGCAAGAATCCTTTACAAATTTTATATTTTCGTAAGATCAGCAATTTCTTATATTGCGAATGTACAATTTCTCCTATTTGATTTTTTATCGGCTTAAATATTGTTATTATTCCGTCTTTGTGTGGAATAGCTATATGTCCAATATGTGATAGCTCAAGAGAGATTTCGTTCCTCATCGTCTATTACGTATGACATGCAATTTGCTCATGAGATAGCCATTACTACGTCTGTTCATGGAAGATAGAAATGTGCTAGAGTATGGATGGATTCTATTCACAATAAAACATCACTTATCAGACAAATTGTTCATTTGCAGGCATACACCTTTATAATTTTTTTTTTTACCTAGATAAACTATTGCTGCTGTGACGTAGGTCTGTTATTGTTCCTCTCGAAAATAATCAATATTCATTTTTTAATGCATACAATTTCTCCCAAAATTCTTCTGTTTCTATAATATTTGTAATGTAATCAATAGTTTATAGTATCATGAATTTTAATAAAATGATGTGTTCTGTTTTCAACTGATGAAACAGGTAATAAATTATCTACATTAAATTGAAAAATTCAACAGGGAATACAATTTAGATAGGTGCAAAGAAAAATGGGAAAATGGCGCCATTTTAATATCTACTACATTGATAAAAAGATTTATTCAATATTAATAAGTATACAGAGCAAATCAATATCAATTATTTTTATTAACTACAGTATATTATATCGTTGTAATCCTTTTTTATTCATTTTAGAATGTGCTATTTGATGATGTATTCCTAGTGTAAACACACATAGACGTCCATTTAGAAACTGTTGTATTCAACTCTGAGGGTCTTGAAACGTGGAGATATGTCGAAATTACTTCCCACCGATAAGTTAAAAATTTTCGTGAACAAACAATTCTAAAATTTGAAGGTTTCAATGTTTTGAAAAATTCCTCTTAGCATTTATTCAATACAATTGCAGACTCAATTTATTGTTATCTCTGACCTTTCATTTTGTTTTGAAAAGGCTTTCGTCCATATCCTCTTATCATATGAATACCTCTGAGAAAATTATCGTTCCAGTGGTGAAACCTCAAACCCACCATTCGGAATTTGAATTATGAGCCTGAAGTACTGAGCCTCACGGTTGTACTCTCCGTTGATTCACTGATCGAAAGAGGTATATAACATAATCGATAAAGTTCAGCTCAATATAATATGCCATAAATTATCGGTCGATAATTTCACCCGAGATTTAATTAATGAGTAACAGAATAAATGTTTAACGATATGATTAACCTCCGATATTGATTAATATATTATCGGTTTACAGTGAGAAGGAATATAGTTATAAATATGCATATTTCTTCAGAGTAAACGGAAATAAACTTTGTTCAAACTCATTTTATGGTGTCTTATTGTTTGTTTGTTTTTTTTAAATTATAAACTGCAAAAAGAACTTAAATAATTTTGATTCAATTTTCAATTAATTAAATACGTTAGAGCGACAATTTTTAATTCGGTCAATAAAAAAGTTGTTGTTAAACATAAAGCAATCATGACTCATTTTAGTGACGTGGTGTTGACATTTATTCATCGGATATTGTGAAATTGTAAAGCAAAAATGTTTTTAATAAATTTTGTAATTGTGGGACAGCAAGTGTGTAGTCAGTAATTGAAAAATGGTTAATAATTTTTAGT